CAAATACTGCTTTGAAATTTCCATTATAATATTCGGAATTGCTTATTTTAAAATATGTGATTAGCGGGATTATTTTCGTTAATATGTTGTAAACGACGTCTACGATAATAGTATCGTAGTTTTTTTTTTATCGTTACATAAAACAATTATCAAAAATCCGACTACTTTAAACTATATAAATAGTTACGTTACACATTATTGTGTAACAGCCAATTATGCAAATGTCCGGTATCCCAAAAATTAAAATGACGTCATTTCTGGCCCTCTCCTAATATAAAGTAAACTTTTAGATATTGTAAAGGTAACAATATAAACGTGGAGCTCCGAAATTTAATTCAAACATAAAAAACTTTCTAATTATTTAAACTCAATTAGATTTTGGTAGAATCGACATAATATATATATATTTTTTTTACATACTAAAGAACTGAACTGTTAAGATCACATAAATATTCCTCAAAAAAAATTTATATTATGTACTCATTAAAAAGTTCAAAAGAGTCTACACAAGATTCAAACATAACTGACAAGAATATACCTGCCACAACGCTACCTTTCTCCTCACCGAAATTTTTATTCTCTCCTATTTCCTATTTATCAAAAAAAGTTCGTGATTTCTTGATAAAAACGTTACAACATGGACCTATTCCTCAACACATTGGATTTATTATGGATGGTAATAGAAGATTTGCAAGAAAGGTTAAAGTTCAAACCACAAAAGGACATTATATGGGTTTTGCCAAAATGGAAGAGGTAAGTCAAGTAAAATTATTTTCTTTTAGATTATTAATTAAACATGAAATCATGAAATCGAATCGAATTAAAATATTAATTTCATTTAGGTGTTGGATATTTGTTTACAACTTGGAATAAAAGTTGTAACTGTATATGCATTTAGTATAGAAAATTTTAAACGACCAAAAGAGGAAGTGGATGGACTTATGCAACTGGCCAAAGCTAAATTAATAGAATTGTGTCAGAATAGGTAACTCTCAATTTTGAATTATAACTTTCTTGTTATAAATATAAATTTTAAATCGCAATAATTATTTCAGTCAGGTAGTGAAGAAACATGGAATTAGCATAAGAATATTGGGAAATATGTCGTACCTTCCGCAAGATTTAAGGGAAGTTATGGAAGAAGCCATCGAAACGACCAAAGATAATGATCGGTAAGTGAATCACCGGTTTTAAAAGGGGTAAAATATTTTAATTAATTCATATTAACAAAGTTCTTAATAATAGATCTATATTGAATATATGTGCTCCTTACACTTCAAGAGATGAAATTACAAATTCTGTAAAAACAATTGCGAAAATGGTAGAAAATAAACAAATTCATATAGAGGATATTGATGAAAATTTAATAGAACGATGTTTATTTACTCATGGATGTCCTCCTTTAGAAATACTTATTCGAACATCAGGTGAAATTCGATTAAGTGATTTTCTCTTATGGCAATGTCATCAAGACTGTTATATACAATTTGAGAATTGTTTTTGGCCCGAATTTTCGATTTGGGAGATGTTACGAATCATTTTAGAGTATCAACTTATTTATGAGACGATAAAAGAAAAGAGGAAAAAATCTCAACAAATTCTTTTTAATAATTATATATCAGTATCTTCAGGATCATAATTTTCATTAATAAGTCTATACAAATATGAAGGAGGATGTCCACCGCTATAAATTTAATTTAATCATAAGTTATATATAAATCCAATAAAATAATAAAAGATGATGAATAATATTTCATAAAACTTACGTATTTGTGATAAATAAATTAACAAGTTCAGGTGAAACATAATCGTAATAGGGATTTATAAGTGTAACTTTATCAATTAAATCTCCTTCATCGAAACGCATCACGGAATCAGGAGCAACCATGTCATTAAATGAATCTTCGTCATATGGATAAAGGGGAGATAATTTATATAATCCTGTACAAACTACAACTGGAGTGGAATGATGTTTCGCCGCTGTGGCAACCATTTGAGTGCCGCTGACAGAGATTAATCCACCATTTGCAAGAACTTGAATAGAGAGTTCATATAATTATATCTTTAATATAATAATATGGTTAATTGGATTTATGATATCTACCTGCATGAGTTCCCATTATAACTTTATTCACTCTTGACATGACAGCAAAAATTGCTGAATCAGAAATCACTGTTGTATCAATCCCTGCTTGTGACAGAGATAAAGCCATTTCATGTCCAAGATATCTAAAATAATAATCACGTTGCAAATACTATCCTTTATCGTTCAAAAAGGATTTCAAATAATTTTAATATAATATAACAGAACTGACGTTGGTGAAGTTTCTGCAACTACGACCGAGAATTTTCTTTTCTTCGCTGCGGCTTTCAAGAACATTTCAACTGTTCTTGATTTTCCTACTGTCATTATAAATTCGCTAAAATTATTTTCAAAATTAGGTTGATATCTACTTGTACATAAATATATAAGTTTTCCGAAAACGACAACACGTACTTAGAATGAATGTGTTCCATGGCTTGATCTGCAATATTAACATACATATTCTCGAGTTCATTAATCATCTCTTGTAATTCAGAGATTATTAAAGGCTTTAGATGTGAAAATGAGTCAAAAATTCAAAATTTTTATAATAATAATAAAATTATATATATTTTTATATACATATTTTTTTTTAAAAAAGGATATTATGAAATTTTTTATCATAATCTAATGAAGTTCTTCTCTCTCCAAAAGGGGATCCATCTCCCAACAGATTGATCATAGAGGCTGATGAAGAAAAGAAACTAGAACCCGTAATAGAATTCGATCCACCATAACTTTGTAATTCGTAAATTCTACCTTTTTGAGGAACAGATTTAACTTTATTGTCATCATCATCATCATCATCATCGTCGTCGTCTTCTCCCTCTTCTGTTGTGGAAGATGCTTTATTTAAATTGACACTATTACTGGACACTTCAGAATTATATACATCACGTATCAAACGTAGTACACGACGAACAATATTTCCTACCGCAAGTTCTAAAAGGTATAATGTAAAGCCATTAAATTCTTCAAATTTAACTTTTAACGCAGCAATGCACACACCTCTCGGTTGAGCCATAACCAGCCTCCTTCCAACATCTTTCACTAACTTTATCAGCATGCCGACTTGACTCCAACGTGTAACCGAAACCACTTGTCGGAATAGTAGTGCTGTCTCAAGTGAGACGGACCAAGAACCGACAACTTGTCTATTACATAATTTATAATGAAACTAGGTCATAGATATGAAAGTGTAATAAATAAGTTCCTTACCGTCGTCTTAGGCGGTTTATTAGACTCTCAATTTGTACAGTTAGATCTCGCGACCCTGTCATTGTAAAAAGTTATCAGACCATTAAAAAAAATTTTTTTTTGATCTTATTCTGATGATCATGTGATTTCATATTTGTGTTTTAAAAATTGATAATTTTTTTTTTCAATCTAAACTTTTTTTTCACTTTTCTATTATTTCGATAATGAAGGAACTTTTTACGTAAACTTCTCAATATCGTAACTGGTATTATTATAAAGAAAAATTACAAGAAATTCGTGAAAAAAACCATACTTCATCTGTAAAACGAGTAAAACAAAAGGTGTTGGAAGAATTTGTAGGTAGAAAGTATTTAACGTATGTTATGAATTTTTACATTCAAAAATTAAGTTAAATGGCTTTTTTTTAGGAATTGCAAAAACAAATTTCTGCAAAATCAACGCCTACACGTGGAGAACAACCCGAACGAGTAAATTCTCCGCGTATAAATCCGTCTGAAATCGAATACTTAAAAATGGAAGATGAATTAGCATTGTGTAATTATTATCAAACACAAATCGGTCCTTTGGCAAATCAATTTCCCGAGGAAATTCGAAAGAATAAATTCACAGATAAAGTGAAGGTAATTACAGTCTTAGAGTTCAATTCTATAAACATGTAATTTATTTTTTAATATATATATTTTTTTTCATTTCATTAATTAGGCAAGTGCAATAACATATGTAAAGAGATTTTATTTGCGTAATACCATCATGGATTATCATCCTAGGGATATAATGTAAGATATAGTATATATCTATTTACTAAATCAAATAATAATATTCAAACCATCAAGTTAATTATACGTAATAAAATTTACAGTATAACGTGTCTTTTCCTCGCTGCAAAAACCGAATTTTCATTTGTAGCCATTGAGGATTTTATTAAATTATTTAAAAGATTGACCAAGGAGGTTATTTTTGATTTAGAATTAACAGTTGCGCGAAGTTTAAGGTACGAATTTGCTGTCCATCATCCGTATCTTGGGGCTTACGGTTTATTTCTGGATATGCAGGTACGTATTAGATATCAAAAAGAAAATGTATTGCAAATAAATTATCATTCAATATTAATGATTTTTATTTAACAAAGACGGTTTTAAAAGATGCGAAAAAAATACAAGTAGTATACGAAAAATCTAAAGAATTAATTCATAGATCTCTTTTCACTGACACAATGTTTCTTTATCAACCATCACAAATTGCATTGGCGACAGCACGTATGGCTGCCAAAGAAATAAATCTTGATTTGAATAGGTAAAGAATCGATTTTATACATTTTCTTCTCCTGTAATTAGGAAATATATTTATTAATCATAAACTCTTTTAGTTATTTGCGTGCAAAATTTAATTCAGAACCAGATAATCTAGATAATTTATATAAGACACTTGATGAAATTGAAAGGACAATAAAAGAATATGAACCCACACTTGTTAATAAAGCGAAAGAAATTGATGCTAGATTGCATAAATGTAAAAATCCCGAAAAAAATCCTAACAGTGCGATGTAAGTGACAAGAATTATCATCATTATTGGTTTAAAAAATATTCTAAGTTAGTTTTGTTAAAAGTTCGAGGAAGAGAAAACTTGAAAGGGAAGGACTTGAAAATGCTGATAATCATAAAAAAAAAAGAATTGATGACGAATATCAAAAATCTTTAGAAGATGTATTTAAATAATTTGCAAGGAAAAAGGTTTGTTATATTATAACATTATAACCACAAATTATTAATAGAATACTCTTTTTTTTTTAGTTTATATAAAGGTAAAGTAGTCTTGATTTTTATTTTATTTTACATATATATATTTTGGATTCTTTGTAATGAAAATCAGTAAAATAAATACAATTTCAAAACTACATAATTTTTGCTATTGCGCAATTAAAGACAAAATGGTATCATTTCATTTATTACGCAATCAGAAAATAAGGTTTTTTTTTTCAAATTTAATAATAGTGACATAAATCAAATTTCTAAAATTCAAGTACGTATTATTCATAATATGCTCTTATTTGTTAAATTTCGACATATTTTTTTACTTTGTAATTTTTATTATAAATTCTAAAATTTACTTTTCTGGTTAAGATATCCGCAGTGGGAATATCTTGTCACAGAATCGGAGTATAGTAAATACTCATTTTCCCTCGTGACCATTTTATTATTCACTTTCACACTTTTCAAAACTTACCGAGTTCCTAATTAAACCTCGGTTTTCTTTTTCCTTGTCAAAAATTCTTACCAGTTATATTTTGCCAATAACCTCTTTTTGTATATTATTGCCTTGTATTTATATATAATTTACAATAAATTTACTTGTTAGCGCTACTTCATCTTATTACATACTCGGAATGTCTTCAGTTAAAAGATCGCCTACAACAAGTGTAGGCTGCTACTCCGTAGGTGCTGAAATTGGTCGGGGATCCTTTGCAACCGTTTATAAGGGTTATCTTAAGGTAGTTAAAACGTCAACAATTTATAAAACAGTAGAAACGTAGTTACTTCTATTTGCACGGACAATTAACCACAATGTTCTACAATGTTCTTAAGAAGTCCTGTTCTTGTACATTTTATAACATATATTTCTTTACACAACTTTTACTTTACAGAATACACGTGAACCTATCGCTATAAAGTCTGTATTGCGATCTAAATTGACCAAAAAATTACTTGAAAATTTGGAATCCGAAATACAAATTCTTAAAGGAATTCGTCATGATCATATTGTCCAATTAGTCGACTGCAAGGTTAGCATACTTGAGATATTATAACTTATAATAAGCCCTTTTATTCGTTTACTTTCTATTTGTTTTTCCGTTTGTTTATTAACAAAAGTTCAATTTCTTTATTTATAAGAAAACCGATACTCATATTTACTTAATTATGGAATTTTGTTCTATGGGTGATCTGTCAAATTATATAAAACAACGTCGTAATTTAAATAGCAACAACGCAGTCGATCCAAGTGTAAAACCTACCACGAGTGGCCTGAACGAATATGTTGTTCGTCATTTCCTAAAACAACTAGGTATTTATTTTTATGAATTTCGTTCATGTTTTTTCCATGGATTTATATACTTTATCAGTCAATTCGATTCGTTTATATTTTCATTAAATCTTTATTCATTTATTTATTCTCAGCAAATGCACTGGAGTTTTTAAGATCACAAAACCTAATACATCGTGATATCAAACCTCAGGTGCTAGTTTATACATTTGTAACATGAAAAAAATTTCTTTGTTTATTTATATTATATCTTATTATCTTGATTTTATCAGAATCTATTATTGCTGCCGCCACCTGTTGATAAGCCAAAGGATTCCATTGTCGGTTCAGCTAAACTTCCAACTTTAAAAATTGCCGACTTTGGCTTTGCTCGTATATTACCATCTACAAGTATGGCCGAGACATTGTGTGGTTCTCCACTTTATATGGCTCCTGAGATTTTACGTTATGAAAAATATGATGCTAAAGCTGATCTTTGGAGTGTTGGTGCTGTTTTATATGAAATGAGTGTTGGTAAACCTCCATTTAGGGCTCAGAATCACGTTGAGTTATTAAGAAAAATTGAAATTAAAGGTGATAGAATTAAATTTCCTAATGACCCAGCTATTTTAACAGGAAATTTTCAATTGGATTCAACAAAGACATCAACCAATAAAATATCTTCAAACAATGGTGGAACGTATCCAGTTATTAGTGAAGATATCAAAGATTTAATAAGACATTTGTTGAAACGTAATCCTGTCGAACGTATTTCATTTGAGGAATTCTTTATGCATGTTTGTGTTGTAGGGAAATTAGAACCCATGCAACCAAAGTCATCTGCTAGAACAATGCATTCAAAAGAAAGATCCAGTCATGATATGAAAGGTGTTACTATAGCAGCAACGGCAAACGATGAATTCAAGAATAATCAAATTAGAGATAGGTCAAGATCATCTCCGGTTCCTGTAATGTACAAAGAAAATTCTAATATTAATCAATTGGAAAGTCCACAACTCCACACTAGACCTAATTCATCCCGTAAAGACTGTGAAATATCACAGAAAGGCAACATAAATTTGGATTGTATTAATCCTTTACAAAGAAAAAATTCTAGGTAAATATTTTTTTATTTAACCGTAAAAAATATTTTTGTACACTTTTATTAATGATTTTGTTTTTTTGATTTTTTAAAAAAAATATTATAGAAACACCAAATATCCAGATTCAACTAAAGAAACAACACGAAATAATGAAAACCATCAAGTTAATTTAGATTTACACCCGTCATATGATAATCCATCACCATCATCATCTTTATTAGTGCAAAAACCTTTGAATTTGGAAGCAGCAAATCAGAAACGAAGTAATGAAAATGAAACATCAAATAATCGATCAAATGGAGAGGAATTAACCGGTTATGAATTTGAAAGAGAATACGTTCTTGTTGGATCGAAACGGACTGTAGAAGTTAATAAATTAGCAGATGGTATGAATAAAAATTTTTTCTCATAAAAAGTTTATTTTAAAAACCAATTAAAGGGTATTGTTAGATAAATAGAACCATGAATATTGTATACCTTTTTATTGGTTAGCTTTGCATTCGTTTCAATTAGAAATAATATATACTGCCTGAATATGATACAGAACTTGCCGCATCGCCAAAACATCAATATGGAAATAAAGGTACTGCTATTGTACTAGCTGGTACTTCCAACCAATTAGATCTCCAATATCGTACTCCACCACCCAGTGTAAACTCTTCAGGATCTTACCTTCTTTCGACAACGCCACCTTTCGCTTTACCCATTACTATAAATCATGAGAGAGCTAACTCCGTTGGTAGCAACAATAGCGCGTCATCAGCTCTCGCAAGGGCTCTATCTGCCGCGTCAGATCGTTTGTTTGGAACAGGCAATTCTCCTCCGTCTTGGAGTGACAAATATTCAAAACAAAAAGGGAACGCTATTGTAATTCCTTCCTCGGATTTTATAAATGATCCTGCAGAGGTATTGTAGTGTTCTATAAGGAATATTTTGCTAAATAAATAAATATTTATTATGATTATTTTAATCTAGGATACAGTAGTTAAAACAATTGAAGAACATGCACATAAAGCGTATGTCGTTTTCCAGTTCGCTAAAACGAAATTTAATAAGCTCTTACCACCACCTCCATCAGCCAGTTGCGACATGGTGGATGATACGCCTATCTCAGAAAAAGCAGCCGCAGTATTCGCGGAGGAAGCGTTTGTTTTATACTTAAGGGCACTTGCTTTTTTGCAGGCGGCCATGGATAATGCTAAAGAATATTGGACAAATGTTGGAGAAAGGAATGTAAATTATCCTGGTGGAAAACGAGCTTCTCCAAGATTAATTGCTGGTAAATTCAAATAGATTTTAAAAAATCATCTTCAATATTTAATATAATATATATAATTATTCTTTTTTTTTTAAAAAAAAAAAAGTTGTACAGTGGGTTCGTGCAAGATTTAATGAATGCTGTGATAAGGCAGAATATGCTAAATCAAAGTTTCCAATTGAAGAACGTATTTTAGTAGAATCACTTCTTTATGATCGAGCACTTGAAATGGTAAAAATTTATTTTTTTAAACAAATAAAGAGTCTTTCACAATATTTGTCTCACATACATATTCTTTTAGAGTCGCCAAGCAGCCGTTAATGAATTGGTTGGAGAAGACTTACCTGGCTGTGAAAAAGCATATCAGTCCGCTATTTACATGTTGAATAGTATTCTCGATGCTCCCCTAGATTCCGGAGAACAGATCGATAATGAAGATAGAAAAGTTGTAAATAGATGTACGTACAATTTTATTTTGTGTCTACAAAATCTTTTTTATTTATGACTGTTTCTCGACGTTAAATTATTTCCTGTATTACCCGAACAATAATAACATAATTGTAAACAGATATTAAGGAAATTAACAAACGATTAAGTTCCTTACGAAAGAAATTGGCTAATACAGAAATCCCAGTAGTAACAGGTCAAAATGGAAGTCCCGGATAACATTTATCGAATTGATTCCTAAATTAAAAAATCAATTTAACATTATGATAAAATAAATATGAATTAATAATTGAGAGGGTAACATTATAAGAAAATAAACCGTTAATAATTAGGGATGGAGTCTTATATTGGCAAGAATCAGAAGGATTAATTTATTTCAAATTATACATCTAATGAACATTTTTTTTCAATAACTGAACAATTTAAGTTTATCAATTTAAATTCATTCTATTCTGTCTAATTAAACTGCCAATTTGGATATTTAATTTTACTCTCTCTCTCTTAAGAAATGAATATGCTTTAATAAGTCATTGTATTATATACTGAATTAGAATATTTATTAAATTCAAGAATTGACTTATTAATTTTTTTTTTTTTTATGTTTTATACAATTATTAATTAAGCTTTTTTTTTTATAATAATTGTATAATTAAATAAGATATAATAAAGACAACATTCAAATTTGTAAAATTATTTATTTTCTTTTGTATCCAAAAACCTATTTTATGCGCAATAAATTAATTTGAGACAATAAAAATGTAATAATTTACAACTTAAATAAAAATCAATCAGGGATATAAGTTTATACAGTATCACAAAGAACCCAATTTTCTCCATCCTCATTTTCATTATCATCTTCATTATCTAGAAAGAAAACCATTTATTATATGTATAGAAATAGAATAGATAGAGATAGATAGATATATTTTAAAAAAAAACTACCTCCTTCAAAATAATCATTTAAAGTAGTTCCGATAATATTGTAAATTAATAAATCATATTTTATATCTGAACCATTTCTAGGTGCCAACATCATTCGCACAACTTCTTGAAAATCCAAATTAAACGATTGATCGGGTTTTCGATAAATTTCAGTAAGATGTCCATACCTTGATGTTTTGAAAAGAAGTTATAGTAATGAATAACCACAAATAATAACACTTTAATTTAATTCGACTTACCTTCCAAGATTAGAAGCATGGCAACAAAGAAATAAATTATGTAAAGTATGAGGAACTTTATGATAAGGTATTTCAATACCTTGAGTATGACATAGATAAGCAATATTATAATTCAACATGGCCATTCCTACGGTAAAACTTTCCAGATTTTCGACTGTTAAAAAGAGTGGTGTCCTTTTACTATTATTATCAAAGTCCTTCGTTATTACTGATATTTTTAATAAAATTAAATCCTGAAAGAAATTTTTTTTTTTTTAAGAAAAAAATTTTCTACCTCCTTTCTGTTATTTCATTTAAAGTGCCTTCTGCGCATGAATTTGATCCCTTATTTACTAACGTAAATGGAAGATTTACACCAAGATAATGCGCTACTAAACCTAACATATGTATTACGTGGCCCACCGCTGTATTGATTTCCTCAAATTGATAATCTACAGAAATTAAATAAGTTAAATCGTTTATTCGAAAAAATCAAATTTCATAACAAATTACTTACTTGTAAAATCGAATTTTCTTGGCAAAGTTCTTCCAGCAATAGAAAATTCAAAATCTTCATTTTTTCCTATTCCATTTGTTGATAAAGACATTACATTATTTTCTATATTGATGCCTCCATCATCGTTATTTTGATAATATTTTATTTCATAATCATTTAATTTTTTTAAATCAAATATAGAAACCAATTCACTAATCAAAACTTTTCTTGACTGAATTAAGACTTGATGTACATTGCGCCAATTTTCTTTAATATTGTCAATATCTTTTGTTATAATAGATTTTTGATGTGATTTAAATTTTTTAAAATAAGTATGCGTGTCTAATAATAATTGTCTTCTTGATTGTAAAATTTTTTTTCTTGAATCGATTTCTTGACGATCTATTTTATACAATAAAGTTAATATTTTTTTTTTAAAAAAAAGGTAAGAAAGAAACTAAATACCTCTACTTATTTCTTCTTTTCTTTTTTTCACTTCGATTTCCAAGTTGTTTAGTTTTTGTAGTCTATTATGTTTATCAGCTAAACTTATTTGAAGATTTCTTACAGATCCTGAAAGAAATTTATTAGCTCGCTCTATTTTTTGCTGTTTGACGAGGGTGATTTTTTTGTATTCGGAATTATACTTTTTTAATCTAAAAGATATATAAATAGTTTTTTTTTTTAACAAAAATGATCACTTTTCAATAACTCTCTAATAAATATAATACCTTTCGAGGAGACAATTAGCACAATAAAATTTACGATGGTAGTTATGACAAGTTTGACACTCCATTTTTTCCTAAAATCAAAAAATTATATATATATATATATATATATATATTTTTAAAAAAAAAGAAAAAAAGTCAATAACCCATCATGAATTAACCTTTATAGTAAAGTAACACAACTTTGGCCGATTATGTAATGAAAACAATGGCACCTAGGGATGAGCGTTGATAGTTTCTCATTTCTTGTTATTTTCTCATTACAATTTTTTTTTAACAATGACTGATTTTATTGGATACACTTATGCCTTTGTAATTATTATGACATTTTTATAAGTTCGAAGTTAAATATATTATTAACGAAATTAATTCTTTATACTTAAGTAGACTGTTGCTTTAGGTGGTGTAATAGGCTTTTTAAAAGCAGGTAATTTATTAATTCAATACTTCTTGTATTTATTAGACCTTTTTAACTAAAAATATTTGTAAATAGGTAGTATGGTCTCTCTAATGGCCGGCTTATCATTTGGTGGTTTGGCGGTAAGCCGAGTTATTGCTCATTATCTTAATTTTTCGTTTTCTCGGAAATTGTATTTATTATTGCTCATTTCATTATTCTATTATTCGATTATAGGCATACGCGGCAAATCGCGTTAGCACGAATCCAAAGAGTACCGGTTTAGCTTTAGGTAAATTTTGATTCACTTTGAAAAAAATTTGGTTTTTTAAATTTAAAAAAATAATACTGATAAAATGAATTGATTATTGTAGTCGTGTCTCTTACATTGTTCATTGTAATGGGTGTTCGTTTTTATAAAAGCGGAAAATTTATGCCTGCCGGCCTCGTTACTATTATTAGGTAAAAAAAAAAATTTATAAACTGAACATGTTTTGTGAGCAATTTTACTCATTATTATTATTATGATTTTAGTTTACTTTCGGCTGGTCGTTATGGATATCTTGGATATATTTGATTTGTATGAAATTTAGTGTATAAAATTTCTTTTAAAATATATACATATAGAAATTGTTAATTGAATAAAGGACACTATAAATGAAACATCAAACCTATCCTGGTCCAATTCGATATAAACATGAATTGAAATTTCTTTTTTTTTGCATGTTCTTTCATACCATCGAAATTCCAGTATTCAAAAAACAGGATTATGACGATTGATGAATCAATTAATAGCGTTGTCTTGTTAGCATTGTCGTTTGTGGTGACGCGTACACGAGTCATTTAACATACATTTTTTAATTATCAATCGATAATAATTATATATATAATCTATTAATTGGAAAAGATTTATTTAACTAAATAACTAAACTTTTATAAAAAATACATATACAATAAGATAAATTTACATTGAATATTACATTTAATTCTTAAAACATAAAAAAATAAAATGATGTATCTAAAATATAGTCATTTTTTTACGCCCTTTGGCCCTATCAAGACCACGCTGAATTTCTTGTTCTTTTCTTTTTAATACCTGATAGGTTGTTTCGATTTCATTTATTTTTTCTCTAAAATGATTTGCCATCGTAGGATCTTTCTTTTCATTTCTTTTAAATGATTCCTTTGCTTTTTGAAGCTCCTGAGATTTCTGATTAAGTTGATTTTGAATATGGTAAAGTTGTAATTGACTAGCTTCAGATGAATATTTATGAGAACGATCAGTACTACTATTATTATTTGACGATGATCCAGCTGACGTATTACTTTGTAGTGAAGATGTCGATATATTACTAACTCCGGTCAAATTATTGTTGTCACGATGTTTACCCTTATTCAGTGAAACATTTAAAAAATCAAAAACTGTTTGTTGAGGATCCGAATTATTATTTTCCGTGCTCGAAAAAGTAGTATGCTCTTTGATTCTCCCATGTGAAATGTTTGTTCCAGAATTAGCAATTTTTGATCCTTCCGACTTATGACGATGACGCCGTCGACGATGAGGACCTGTCTGATCAGCTGTTCCCTTCTTATCAATAAAATCCAATGAAACTCCTTTACTAAAAAGCTTTACTTCAATAGGATTCGTTATGCCTTCGCTGTTCTTTCCCAAACCTTCGCCCTAAAGGAGTGCATTTTTTTTTAAAAAAAAAGATTGGATTGTATATATCTACTTTCTTACCTGATTCGGAGCAAAATTTAATATAAAATAATTTTCTTATATTTTAATCGTTACCATTTTATATCCCATTTTTGCCATCATCCGAGAAGCGACGCCTCTTGTATGCTTTTCCCATTCGGCAAAATGAATCTGAGTATCGTTTTGATTATTGGAGGAAATATCATCAATATTAATAGTATCAAGCCCTATCCTTAATGAGGAAGAATCGCTTTCACTTAAGCTACCACATTCATCGGAATATTCGCTATAAGAACTTTCCTCATCAGATTCATCGTGTTCGTTATCGAGTCCAACGACAGGTATAATTTCATCATGAGAAACCACAAAACCATTCGGATGCTCATCCTCATAACCCTTGTAAATTATTCTAAATCCTTGACCACCTGTTTCAATACTTATTAGTTTAGCCATGTACCAAACTTCATCATCTTTATATTTTGCCCAAAAATACCGGCCAACTTGATAAGCATCCATATTCCCAATATTTAAAAGTTCATAAGGCGCCACAAGTTCAAATGATATCTCCTCCCCATGAGAACAATTATGTGGACAAGATGTTGTATTACATTGGGAGGAAATATATTTTTCACATAAGCGAGTTGATTGGGTAATTGGGGTTAAAATCAAAACATCACAAGTTCGCTTTTCAGTATTGATACTATGTATTAATCCTGGTAGAAAATACACTTTCTCATAGTCTGGATGAGTCCATGGAATGCAACATTTATTACCCGGTTGTAAGATTTCCATTTCTTCATTATTTGTAAAGAAATTATTTTGTGCTAACATATCGACGCCTTCCATCTTGAAGTTCTTCCCAAGACAAAATAAGACAAGTCAGTACAAATTTTTTTTTTCCAAAATTAATTTTATTTAGGGTTTCCGTTTGAGAATTTGATATTCGAATATCGAATAACATTTTTACTTTAAGTAATGATGCTTGCCGAAACTACCCTTCTTATGTGCGAAACGGACGAAACTAGTCTTTTATAATTAACAAAACTATTTGTTTAAAAAAAAATAAAAAATTGCCCAAATCATAATAATTATAATTGGAATTTGGATTCATTGAATCAAAATATATTAATATTTATTGATATAAATAACATTGAAAATCGACGAAACTACATTTTTGTAAATAAGGGTTTAAGGCAAACATCTATAACTTTCAGCTATCAAATCAATTCATATCAATTAAATACGTCATTTGGCAAAAATATTTGGTGTAAATAGACCAGTCACTATTACTGATTCTTGATATTCGAAAGGATTTTGATATTCGTTTGAAGTCCTTCTTAAAGAAAACTTTCAAACGGAACCTTAATTTAAATATATAAAACACTCACCGTTTTTCCATTCTCATCATTCTTTTCTTCGGTTAAACCAAATCTCGCGAGCAACTCTTTTTTTTTCGTTTGTAATATTTGTTCCTGTTGTATCTTTATCAAGTTTTCTAATTCTGTAGCAAGGTTCTTTAGTTCAGATTCTTCCGGGCTAAGAAGTAACAACTCCCTGATTTCTTTTAAAGACTCTTCGTTTTCTTTAATCGAACTCTCTAAATCTGTAGTAGACATGTTTATGTATAACTTCCAGTTAAATCCGCGATGGTTTATTTAAATTCACTCGTTCAGATCTTTCTATTTATGGAAATTAGGTTTTATCGAAGAAAACACTTCAGATTTGATACACAAAATTCGTTCGATACACAATATTTTTAATAAAGCAATGATGGAATGATCTACTTGTCCGTATTAGGCTCCATGTTTTTGCTTTCTAGTAAGAGTAATCCTACCTAAGAATCCTAATCTCAATTTCATTATCTTAGAGAGTAATGCCCCCTTCATTCCTTTCGTATATCGTATAATATTTATTAAAATCTTTTTTTTCTTATAGATTTTGCAGATAAAGAGATTTGTTGATATCATTTAATTAATATATAAGTTGCGAAAAAAAAAGTATTTTTTTGTTAAATCTTTCATTTTACTCCTTTGAAACATTAACATTAATTTTTTAAATACCAATATTTTTTTATTTTTTATTTTTTTTTTTTGTTTAAAATGCTTTCAAAATTATTTACTTTTTGTTATGTTCATGACTCTTGAGAAAAGCAAACTGTTAGCTATACTATTAAAGAAATCACTGACATCATTAGGCTTAATGAAAATGATTCTAACAAGATAGCATTTCTGCAAACTAAAGCTTTTATTCCAACCGATCGAACAGCTCCAACAGAAATTAATCTTATGAGATTAGTAATATAATTTGTTTAAAAGAAAAGATCATGGCTTATAATGATTGATACTCTGTGAGTAATACAAATGAGAATAAAGAAATTTATTATTGACTTATTATATTATTTATAATTAACATTATTTTTTTTTCACAGGTTAATGCTACCTTCATAAAAAATGCTTGATTTAGAATACAACAACATTATAATAATAGGTCTTAACAGTCAGTGGTCATGTCAGATCACTTGCCGATCACTAATTAAAGTTTTGTGTAATATTAAAAAATCATGAATGAACAGTCTAATGCAACGTGATATTTTTTCAAGTCAAGAACCAAAGAACCTTAAGGAGTT